TGTTTTATCTTCGCTTTACGTAAAATCGTTAATAGCGGTCAGCCCACTAGAATGCTATATTCTGGTTCATATTGCGTTGAATGTTCATCTTTTTAGTGGTTGATTTTGAAGTAAGTTTCTTGTTTTATGGATATTTTTTCTATCAGTGGCCGTAAATTGTCCATCATTGGAACAAACTAAACTGACACGCCCGTTTTCCTTAGGTGAATTATTGTCCTTTGGATGCGAAGAATGTTTTCCCTACTGTGAAAATTGAGTTGTTCTTATTGAACAAACCAGTCTGAAAAGTACTATTCGGTACCTTCTCGTATATCTTCTGCATCATTTTGAACGTCTATTATGTTATTATGAGATAGTTGTTGGATATTGGTGTCTCATGAATAGTTAAACTCGAAAAAGCGTCACTGCCAAAATATGGAACATTTGTGCATGCATTATATGAAATAACTTTCATTCGTTTTCTGCTTAATAACATTGGTATTATTTAAACATCGCTTGTCAGATAATGGACGAGTACATCTGAGGAGCCCTTTACTAGGAGGTAATGACCATCTAGTGCTTCCCGGTATTTAATGATGCCCTAGCCCAGATGGACTTCTAAATTTCCATTTTGGCTCATAGTGGACTTATGGTGTTGTTTTATTCACCACTCGATTACTCAAGATACGATATGAATCTAGCATCAGTCAAACGTATAGAACTCTCCACAATCGTAAAACACAAGACCGAGAATGCAAGAGAGGTGATTGTTTGGTAAGAATCAAATATTTACAGAAAGATATGCGTATTCATTGTTAATAACGTCGGATCTTACATTAATATACTTCAGCCAATCCAAAAAGAGGTAAGTTATCTTGCCGTACAATCGTATCAAACTACGTTGTTTTACTAAACAGTTCCGTTAGCTTCTGATTCGGTGAAAACTCTTCAAGTCCTTTAGGGCCTCTGGAGGCCCCGCCGTACTTCCCGAAAGTCATCTCAACAGTTGTATTTAACATCAGTTAGTTTATATACCATATCTAATCACCAAACCTAATTTTATATCGCTAACTCATAATTTTACAATATAATCCTTATAACCCTACGTTGATACCACTTTATTGTTTACCCTAGACTGTCTTGTGGTGTCTATTAAGGTGCACTTCGTTATAATAGCTTTTGAAGGAAACTGCAATCGCATCGAGAAAAAATTCATTTGATAAAAAGAGTGAATATCCCTGGATAACCGGATCGTGCTTGATTGATTGTGCTGCTGCATGTTTGTCAACTGTCCATCAGTATCCTTTACTCACCACTCAACTTCCAGGAGAAAATATTTTAAGGTGATGCATTATGAATATCAAAGATAATTTCTGAACGTTTCACCATTTAAATCAGGGTAGTTACAGGTTTATTCTATTTTCATGTATTCAAGAGCTTCCTAGAGTCAGCCTTTGGTTTTCATGGGGTCATCCTCGAACTAAACGACAGTTTTGATGACGTTCTAAATTATTACATTCTTACTGATACTCGTCTGACGACTCCAGTATTTCAAAGTGTTCTGGGCAGAAAAGAAGCTTTCGCACAACGCAATACCACATCTCGTATATTTGGTACATTTAGTAGTAAAAAGAGAAAATATTAGTAAGTTATAGGAAATACTGCTCTAATTTTTAGAGTGATCAAGTTTTCTCTTGAATGAATCTGGGGTGTTTGAATGAACTAATGTTTCCATTGTACTTGTTGAATGCTCGATTTCGAATTCTAAATAGTGCATTCGTTTGTGGTTATCTAGTACTTCTTGATCCGATCAAGTTATTTCTAGGATTCTTAGTTCGTACTATAGTTCAAATACTTATAAATGTTACAGAATCCTAAGGAGTCGATGGGACCAAATTAGCAGGCTAAGAACGTCAATAACGGACTGGATTATTATGATAATTTTCGACTACGGTCTCAGTCGGTCGAAGCGCAACTACCTATGCCACTAAAATTATAGACCTGCTTCACAGTTATAGATTCTCCGTGAAGTCATATCTTTACCTATAATAACTCGTCCTACTGTGATAGTCGATGGTTGCGACTAAAGGCGACTTGAGGAAAAATTTAGGCTGCGAAGAAAATAATCTACTTATTACGAAAGGCAAGAAGTCTCATCTAGGTTAAGCGTTAGCGCATTAACTGTTTTTGACCTCTACGTGTTTAGTTTTGAATGCAAGCATTCTCAAGTATTATATTCTGTAGTGGCTAAAAACGAATACCGTTATGGTCCATATGATATAAAATTGAATAAAAGAATGCATAAATTCAGTATGTTTAGTTCTCAATCTGTCTTACTTTCCAACTTGGTTGATGATACATAACAAAGTTTTTCGTAGACATCATTGCCAAAATCGAAATTAAAAATTTCAAATAAATTGAGCATTGAGTGGAAAGCTGGCAGTAAGTATGCTTTTCGCTGTCTTAGTGGACATGATGTTGTTTTTCCCAAGATTATTACTCAAAACACATCAAAACAAAATTATCCTTGCTTAAATAACAATTCTAGTATAAGACAATCGATTGATGTCGTAGTTTTGCCTCTCCGCTAAGGTACTACAAAACAGTTAGAAATTTACTTAGACAAAAATGACTTTACAATAATATGTAAAGACTGATTAGGATTCTGAGTTCAATAAAAATACCATTCATTGTTCTTTTTGAACTATTGAAATATGTGTTGGTTTTATTTCTGTCATTTATTTACTCTGAAGAAGTGGCTTAAGTCAGATCATGAATCGTGAGTAACATAATCCTCTACTCACCGGCATATAACAAAAAGTATATTTGTGGTTGAAGGTTCTCGTGCTGACACCTAAACATAGCGACTCAGATAGTCTTCCATTAGTCTGTGACTGACATATCTATTATATTCCACATGAGTAACGATGCTTTGCAACCAAGCTCGCTTGAATACTAGCAAAGATGTATTGGAGTGTTTTTAGGAAAACCTAGTGAATTATTGTACGTTTTTCAGCGTTGTCTCACGTATTAGCTACCAAGCATACTGTGAGTCTATTACAGACAAATAACTGAAGTTTCGCCACAACCAAAATAGTGACCAATTTCGTCAGCGTACCGCCTTTCTTGACCTCTGATTTAATTCAATAGTCTCAGTTTAAACCATCAAATGGAATTACATATGTCACTTGTTCACTATTCAGTCTCCACCCACCTCTAAAATTTGGTTGTTGAGTGGCTTAATAGTAACATATACTGTTGTTTCACATATTATAAAGGCCTTCATTTTTTGTTTAAACCTCAAGTGTTCAGTACGGTGTGTTCATTACTCACTTTAGTGCTGTTACTTTACACGTAAAATATCATAATTGCTGCTTACCACGGTGAATTTTAATGCAAATGAACTTTCGAACAATGAATTTCAAGGGATTTTTGCGGGTTCTTTATGAAGTCAAATAATGGAAGCACAATACGTTGAAAATATGGGCTGCAGTGGATGAACAAGCAAAGCAACTGGTTTGCTAGACAAATCAAGCCCATATTGTCTACATGCATGTAAACTAGAAAGCGACAAATAATGTTACACCTGAATTGTAAATCAGAATGGGTTTTGTGGAGAGTTTTTTAGAAATTTCACAGGTTGAAATCATGAGTCGATTGAAGGTAGACCATCATGGAAAACCTGGAAACACTGGACGGCCGTTTCGTCCTAGTATGGGGCTCCTCAGCAGTGCGCATCCACGTTCCCGCATCACGCGGGACTCGAACCCAGGACCTGCTTGCCTGGCGCGCGAGTACTTAACCATTAGACCACTGAGCCGACATCCAATGGTGTACGGTGGCGCAACTTCGTGGATTGGTTGAAGTTAGACATTAACATCGTTGGATATCGGCTCAGTGGTCTAATGGTTAAGTGCTCGCGCGCGAAGCTAGTATGTCCTGGGTTCGAGCCCCGCGTGGTGCGGGATCGTGGATGCGCACTGTTGAGGAGTCCCATACTAGGACGAAAAGGCCGTCCAGTGCTTCCGGGTTTTCCATGGTGGTCTAGCTTCACTCGACTCATGATTTCAACCTGTGAATTGTAAATATTTATGTACTCAAAGAAACTTCGAAAACCACGGTTAATTAATCCATTACTAGTACTTAACCAGTTATACATGTTAAAGTGTGATTTATATTAACGTTCATTCCTCGAAAGTACTTTCGCATATGTTCAAAGTTATTTACTTGTGTGAAAGGTTTTTGGTTGGACGGACTGAGTCATGATAAAAATCAGTAGATGTAAAGCCTTAGACGAAGTTGGTATCGGAACACTTATCCATGTTACTAAAATGATAGATCTAATCCAACTTCATGTCCCTAAACTTTCGATTGCATCAAGTAACGCGATTCTGTACACTTTTATGTAATGGTATTAGTAGATTTGAAAAAACCCTGAACGCCAGTCTTCTTCAAGCGCAAATTGATAGGTAGTTTGCAAATAGTTTGCCAATTGTTATTTTACCTCCAAGAAGTTGTTTTTGTTCACAAGTGTTTAGAAGTATTGATATGGAAACAAATCGTATTTCCGACAGTATTAGAAGGAAAAGTTACAGAGCAGTGCGAATCTGAGACACTGCGTTTGATGGAAGATGGTAAGTCGATAAAAAGAAGGACGGATATTAGGTCATGTTGATCTAACGAACAGCATCAATAAGTTCCAGAAGAGCCTACTGATTACTGAAGGGTATTTACCAGTTCTTCACTATTTTGCTATTTTTTTTACAATATAGAGAGGTTTACGATGACGAAGATATATTTTTCACAACCGGGAGCAATATTTCTAACAATCAGGGCTTTCCATCGATCTTTATGTTTTTTAATGGTAAAGACAGTTTTGAACGAACCAAATTTATTGTGTTGAAAACAAGATTTTAAGCTGTTTGTATTAAGAAAAAATAGTAATTGCATTACCAAACTGACTGCTCCCAATTTTGTGACTTCATATTTGTTCGTCTTCTTCTTTTTTCTTTTTGCCATTTGATGGCGGGTGACTCAGCCGATCAAGGTCAGGGCGATGCACAGCTGATCCAGGAGGTTGAGTGTCTGAAAAGAAAGCTTGAGGACGAGCGCAATAAGCTTTCTGATGAAGACCGTTAGTTTTTAAAAGTCTTATTCTGTAGTTGTCACAGCTAGTCAGCACCTAGATGCAGTACCATCTTTAAACATTCGGTTACGACGAGTACTTAAAGGTCATCAGGGTAAAGTATTGAGTCTCTCGTGGTCTTTAGATAAACGGCACATAGTAAGCTCTTCACAGGTAATGTTTGGATTCTTTTTTTAATTGCTTAGGATGGAAAAATTATTGTTTGGGATGGTTTCACTACATCTAAAGTATCGGTCATATCGAGATTTTTACTCAACCAAATTTGTAGGAATACTCAATATCAATGCCTACCACCTGGTTAATGTCATGTGCATACAGTCCTTCCGGAGGCTTCATCGCCTGTGGGTTAGTTAAAGTTGTTATCATAGCCAGTTACTAATCTGTATTTATTTTTAGTGGCCTTGATAATAAATGCACAGTTTACCCACTTCTTTCGGAGGAGGACCCCATCCTCAAGAAAAAGCTTGTAGCAACGCATACTTCATACTTATCCTGCTGTTTATTCAACATATCTGATCACCAGCTGCTTACAGGGAGTGGAGACAGTTCATGTGTCTTATGGGATGTTGAATATGCACAAATAATACAAAGTTTCTATGGTCATTCTGCGGACGTGCTGAGCATTGCACTATCACCATCAGAATTCGGAAAAACATTTGTTTCTGGGGTAGGCGGTTGTTTCTTCTTGTTCATAATCCTCTAGGGATGTGACAGATGTGCTAACGTCTGGGATATGCGCACTGGACAGTGTGTTCAGGTATTCCAAGGTCATGACTCTGATGTCAACAGTGTCAGGTTTTTCCCTAGCGGTGATGCGTTTGCCACAGGCTCAGATGATGCAACCATCAGATTATTTGATCTGCGCGCTGATCGTGAAGTTTGTGTATACAAAAAGGATAGTGTCATTTTCCCATGCAATGCAGTTGACTTCTCTCTAAGTGGTGAGTTCAGATGTGCATAAAATTTTGTGCAAACACCTTCAATCACTATTTTGTAAATAAAAACAATTGGGGTGAATGATGTTATCTGATATATATATATATATATATATATATATATATATATATATATAATGCACGGTGGTTGGTATCGGAAAAAATATTTGCTCAAAGTATGACTGTTAGGCCTTAATGATTTTTAGCAACGTATTGTATTTTATAATTGCCCTTTTAACCAGATCAGGATAAACTTTTGAGATAGATTGGTTCAACACTTACATGAAGCAATATTTGTGTAGTAAGTTCTAAGCACTAATCCAAAAGGACGTAAATTTTAATCAATGCCGTGCCACCAATAAGAAATGAATTTCCTTCTACAACCAAATACAATCCAGGATTCTAACCCGTATTACTCCGTATGCAGCTTTTAAAAAGTACCACTTTGTTAGTCTAGAATTGATTGTCTTAGTCCCAATTGATTCTCAGAATTTCAACGTTTCATTTCTGCATGTTACCCCTCCTTTCCTCGTGCTTCCATTTTTTAGATTATTTTCCGATTAAAATGGAGTTGATAACTCTGTTATCATAAGTAGTGACCATACGTAAGAAGCCAGATATATACAGAAAAGACATGCCCATATTTTACTCATGATGCTGGCTAGTTTGTTATCGAGCTTTGTCATCTATTTCCCTCACCCCCTAAGTCCTGATTTAAAATTAAGTTAACCATATGAGTTGATCAGTCATTATGAACATACAAAGTGGCATAATTGTGTCTTGGTTCACGTCGCTGTAAAAAGTTACTGTACTATAGACTATAAGTTCTATAAAACAGTTTGAAACACCAGCTATTGAAATCAGACTTCCCACATTACTCCTAAACTGAGCAATTTAAAAACACCCTGCATTTTACGCTTTATACGTTTTTAAAACGTATTTTTCAGTCAATAAGAAAAGACCAACATTTCTCGAATATCAGCAAGAAAAGGACTAAAACTTTCAAGTTGGCAGGTAAATGGAACTTCTAATTAGCTAAATAGTGTTTGTTTCAGATCACTTCCGACCGTAGATTTGCTAGTCCGATCCTTGCTGTACTTCGTTCTTCACCGCCAGCATTCTTAGCACATACAAAATATCAAATTTCTAGAAGCAGCATTCATTAATCTCTCGTCGTGCTTCAGGTACAAAAATTTAAGTTCACTTAGTGTCCAGTCAGTTTGAAATATTTATGTATTATGTTGATTTGGTAGCTGTATTAGGCAAAGCTCTAATGATTAGATGAATAGCGACTTTAAATATTTGTTCATGTAATGTAAGTGAAAAAGAGTAATCATTCATTAGTGCAATAACAACATTTATTTTGTGTATCGGAATTACTTGGTTATGAACACTATCACTTAACTGCGATGTACCATAGAAAAATTCATATCAGGTTTCTGAACTCTATCACAGTATGACTAGGATACTTGGCACTCACTTTACTTATTATAATACTCAATATTTTTTCGAGAAAGCTTAAGGAAAGAGAATTATCTGAGGTCTTTTGAATGCTAGTTATTGTGGACCTCTAAGAATGTCAAGAAATCTCGATCCATACTCTATATGGTTAAATACCGATCAAAATATCTCAGTTACATGGTCTTGCTATATGGCCCTCGAAAAATTTGGACTCATCTTCCTCCTTTTTGATGTTTTTCATACATGTTTATGATTTGGTTTCTGTGGTTGACATCTTTATGTTCTGCATATCATAATCTCGTATACCTACCTTCCCATTTCGTTAATATCTAAAAATGTTTTACATCCTAGTTAAAAATCTAAAATGCTTAGGTGTTTCATGCCCAAACTCATGCACTTGTGCCCCCTTACGTAGTTTGACTATAAGTGGTGATAGTTAACATGTAGATTACTTAAAGTACATGTATGATTGCACTAGTCTTACTTATGATAAATACAAATCAGTAGCGGAATTATTTCGATGTGTTAGCTGAGGGAAAAAGTTAAACTACTTCAGTGTGTGGAAATTCGCGCTTTTAAAGATGTAGTTGGGCTATTTTCTTACCCGAAGTAGGAAGAATTTATGGTTTATGGCAACTTCATCATCAATATGAAGCAATCCAACTTCTCATAGTATGGTTTCTAGAAGGAAGGAATTGAGCTAAAAAATATCTAGATAAGTTTTTTTATAACCTCCGAAATGAACTTGCTAACTCAATAAAAGTTGTATGTATATAAGTCTGGTAGAGTTTTTTAAACAGTGTTTGATAAGTCCTGCTACCGATACGCCTAACGAATTCTGGTCGAGAACCAATTTTTTTTAGTTTATGGTATTCGGCTGAGTCTAACACGGAATCACAGTTTTATCGTTCACAATAATATCGTCAACTACTTTCGTACTGAAAGCATTCAAATACTTTCAAACTTTTAACAATTATTTTTTCTTTAATTTTCCATGTAGTAATTTCATCTTGGTTTAAAATATTCTAAGTCTCCTATATCTATTTTTGATATACATTTAAACCGTTATGCTAATCTACACACCTCGTTAACTATATTGACATGAATTCGTACATTGTGACTGATTTTTAAACTTGACTGACGCTTTCGACTGATGTTTTACGTCAAACGTGCCTGAGGCACTTGTTATGACACTTATAGCCTTTTTCTCTTAGTTGTATAATTTTCAGCTATAGTATTTGGCTTTGCTTTATGTTTCATACTTTATGAGTTAGGTTCGTGCGCACGTCTACTCTTATAGCGTGTTCTTTCCATATAATTGTAACGCTTATAAATAATGAAATGTCTTGCTAATTACCAAAAATAAACGCTGAAAACCTTTAGAAATTCGAGAATAACATGCTATCCCTAGCTATTTGAATACCATTTCAATGAACTCGTGCAACTAGTCAATCACTTTGATTTTTGTTTCAGGTCGCCTATTGTTTGGTGGTTATAGTGATCATGCTGTGAATATCTGGGATGTACTCAAAGGTCAACGTATTAGTATTCTCTATTGTCATGAAAATCGTATTTCAGCCTTACGTGTCAGCCCAGATGGAACAGCTATATGTACTGGGAGTTGGGACACAACTTTACGGGTGATTACTTTTTAAAATTTTCTTTTACGGATACTATTGTTTAAAATAGCTGAAAAATGAGTTTTCGAGGGACTTCTGCTTTGTAACTCATGTCTTCTACCTTCAAATCATAATCCGTAGATTCAGTGTGCTACAATTTTATTTAGGAACCAGATGTTCTAATCAAAAATGCTAAAACTCGCTAGCTAATATTCCGGCTGAACCACTGTCACTTGCGTTTGTTTCCTCTGATCTAATGTTTAATTACAGAATATGACTTGTAGATGGGCTCCGTCTAGAAAGTCTACTCCTACAGAAGTGACTCATATTAGCTTCGCATCATAGTTCTTGATTTAGTGTTGACATTGGATGTTGCCGAAATACAAATGGTCGAGTGGGAACAAACGTTTTACACCTATCACTCATAAGTGATACGATTCACAATCACAACAAGAATAATGATCATTCCTGTACTTGTGCGTTTCGTAGAGTAATTGATGTATATTGTCTATCATCTCGTAAGCATCGAAGAATAATAATGAATAGTATTATCCTTGTACATCTTGCAGTTGACTAGTTTATACATTAGATCCTCTTTGAGCACAGTCATATTACGACAAGTTATACCTAAGTGTAATTATCCCCCCAAAATTATGTATGCGAACTAAGGGGTCGCTATTAGGTTTATAAATATTAACGATATGTTTGTCAGTTACCAATTGAAATATAATGTTAATAATAACGAAATGGGACTTTAGATTTATGGCAATAGTTTGTTTTTAAATATGTTACTTGATACCGCGTGTTGAAATACAACTAAGTTGACTTCTTTAAATAGCACTCAGTGTTATTTGTTTTGTGCCATTTTGGTAGAACAGATATTTTATAGAGTTGTTGTTCCGTAGAGTTAAAATAATATACATACAGGGTATTTAGTTGGTCCATAAGAATAGCTTCGTGTCTAATTCAATAATGGACTGTTAAAACTAGAATAAGCAACATCAAAATTGAATGTAAATATTGGTTTAAAAGCTACAGTTCAAAGTATATTCTTGATAATGAGGTACCGAATAAGTCTTACAACTCTTCGAAAATGCAATCCTAAAATACATTAATATTCACTTAGAAGATAAAGAACGGGCCACTTCAGATTTCTTAACCATATATCATAAGTTTGAGTCTTGTATTGTGGCTAACTGTTTGGATCATCCTTTTGCGCTTTTCGTTCACAACAAATACTTTAAACAATGATTAGTTATTAGCAATCGAAAATTCAAACAAACTGTAATAATAGATTTTTGAAGAGACAAATTACGAAGATGAATTAAGACTGTATTTCACTCAGTGTTATATTCCTTATTTCGTAATGTTTGCTTTCGTTCTGTCTGATGAATTCGTCCACACTTACTATTATTGGAATAATATATTAATGTTGGCGCATAATTGTCGATTCACATTGTATTAACTTCATTTTTCTATGTAAGTTAATATTTTAAAAAATCGAATTTTCCATCCACAATATTCACATATGATTTAGGCTATGAACCACACCTACTATAGGCTATAAGGGAGTTAACAATAATTTTTGAATAAACTGTGCGTAAGCTTAAAATAATTTAAGTATTCGCCTCTTTTTACTAATTGTCATACTAATACATCCCTAACATTTAACTATAAATTCATATTTTACAGATTTGGGCGTAAAAATTTCTTTGTTTATTTTACGGGAAAAATAAATTTCATGAATATATGAACTCATTTTATAATATACATTCGTATTACCTGACATTTTAAAATATTGACTTACTTTATTCTTGCATTTATTAGAGTAAACACGAATCTTTATTTATTTCAAGTATTTTTCTTTTATTATTTGTTCACATTTTTAAAAGCTCTCTACGTGTGATAATTTACTTATTTTATGCGTGTTATTTCTTCTGTGTATATATTTTATTTAACTTTATTATTATTATTATTATTATTATTATTATTATTATTATTATTATTATTATTATTACTAGTTCTCTGTGTTTATTAGATAAACTTACCATATTATGTAATGCATAAATTTGTTAAAAAGCAGCATGTTTTTTGTTTTGTGTAGATATACTATAATTATGAATAGTTGAAATTTGCTTTTTTGGAATGGGACATTCAATAGTTTGGGCGTCTATGTGTTAATTCACATGAAATTTTTTATTTTCACTTTTATTATTGTTTTTCTGGGTATCACTGTGATCAAGCACGTTATTGTTTTAATGTATTTAATACTAATAATTGACGAACCATGTTTTACACATACTTTTGTTTAATTCATTATTTGTGATTTTACTGTTTCAATGTTGAGTTTTAATTCTTGTTCTAAAATACGGTAACAGGCATTGATAAATATATATCAATTACGACTATCAAAGATAGATTATTGAAACTATATTGTGATCTCCTGTGGGAATGAATAGTGTAATAAGTAAATGATTTCCGAGTACTGTGGTAATATAAAAATATGGTATGGGAATATATGAACTCCCTTAAGAACTTATATTGATTAGTGTTATTTGTTGAATGATGTTTAAAAAAATCGTTATTTGTAATTTTACCAAGTTAGTAATTCAACTACCAGTCGTACGATTCATTGTTATTTTATTTCCACCAAATTAAACTTCTAGTATCCTCTGATTGCAATTTCACTGAATGTTGACTTAACAGTCGACATATACTTTGGACAACCAACAGTTTGTTTTTCCTACTGCTTACGACATTATATATATAGGAAGAGATCCATTCTCTGTAATGTTTTTCTATTCCTCTAGTTTTATGTACCAAGTTTACTTACTGTAGTGATATAACTGATTCTATGCACACCTAGTCTGTGTAATTTACATGACCTAATTGTAGTCACATGAAATTTCAATGATTCAAATACTTTTTCCGTGTTAACATAATTATACTTACCCTGGTAATTGTTCACATGAATTTCCAGTAACTGGTCAGTCGTACTCACTGCCTTTTCGCGGCAGTGATGCTGTTGACGAAATTGAGGGGATGAAAAGCGAATATCCGGCGCTTTAAGCGGGTTTGTGGATACGATGAATCCACCTAGGGGAGTTGGAAGACCCTAATCCCAGACCAATGGTGCACACGGGCTCCAGGGTCGTGAAGGAACAATGGGACTGCATCTCCTTACGTTGCTCCATTGTCCTGTGAATTAGACCTTTGGGTCAAAGGCTTGCGGAGCGACCTAAGGAAACTTTATTCGGTTTGGGCGCCCGGACTGTATCCCAGCCCTCACAGTAATCCAGTGACATGTTTGACGCATATGTAGTTGGTGCCTCTTCGTACCGATATTAATGTGTTTAAATATGTAAATTGTTTTAATTCCGCTTGGCTTGTTATACTGGACTTCATTACTGTGACTTGGTATATATATATATATATATATATATATATATATACCAATATCGATTTTTCTGCCAGTTATTTGAAAATGTTTATTTTCTAAGATTTGACATATTAAAAAGCAGATGTCAATGAACAACTTGTTGATCATTAAAGTCTGTTTTAAGACTATATTAAGGTTAGATTTGTCATAAACTGTTCTTAAATCCATCAAAGTAGTTATCAATTTTCGAAAATGGGTTTTGGTGCTGATTATCCCGAAAGGCCCATCGTGTTGGAAGAGTTTCGGGAGCTGGTCGTCTGTAGAATTAATAATTATCTGTAGCAATCTGCTATTTCGCAAATCGTGTGGACACAAAATTTTTCGCAATATTCTGTAGATAGTAAAAGACATTCTAGATGATCATTCATTCTTGCTAAGTCGGAATCACGTAACATAGGTTACTCCTTCTTCATATCTAGTTATTTTGGCTATTTCAATGACTGTATGGTACGAAAATAATCAATGTATTAGTAAGAATAGCTACAAGAAACAGACTGTGACAACTGTCGCGCGGGCTGGTCTGTGGTATGTGACAGGTTCATGTGTGTTGGTTGTCCCTGACGCGGACGAAGGTCATTGGGCTATCCTATTAAAAATGATTTGACCGCCATGGGTGACTTGATGGGCCGTGACACTTTGCTGCCCCTACAAATGTAAGTCAGAAACGTTATTAGTGACTTACGTAATGGAGTGATCGAGAAGAAATCAGAATACTGATTAGTGTATTTTTCTCGGACAAAGGGCTCAGTATTTGTTGAATTTTTAATCCTGTATTTTTGCTCAGATACCTGAAAAGCTGCAGATAATTTTGGAGGATCTTTATACACAGACCGTTGGTTTACTATTATCCTACTTATTAAGCTTTCCCTCCACTCGATATCAATTTTATGAAACTTTTAGTTGTGATCAGGTGTTCTGAAGTGATTTCACACTTAACGTGAGCATTTCAGTTGTAAAAAGTTGTTCTGTCCTTAAAGCTCAAAAACGATTACTATGTGCTTCACTCTAAATCCTTAAACCTATTCTTATTCGGGTCAATCTATGTCCAACCTCATCCAGCACCTCGGCTATAACTTTTATATTAATGGTCGGATGGCTTTTTACAATGAAGTGTAGTGAGATGAGTGAAAAGACTGAATATAAAACAGATCATCGATCCCTGTCAAAATCAAGGACAACCAGCGCGCATCAGTTAATCGTATATTATGGACGGGCCCATGTGTTGGTGGTCCCACTATCTTCTCTGTACTCACTCTTACATGTACATTACGTTGGCCCATTATACTTATTTTCATAAACTTTCAACATGAACACATAACTTCACAGTGTCTTCGTTCCCTTTTGTCATCATTTTGTGTAATCTTGTACCGACGGTTAAAATAATTCACGTACATTGGTATTTGCTTTAACCATATCTGTTGGCAAAAGTTTTCGATTTTTGCAATATGTAATTAGTGCTCTTTGGAATAATACTACGTGACAACTCACTAAGTATTTAACTTTAATTCGCCATTCAACGTATGACTAACCGAATGCCCATATGTATTGATGAAGAGTAACCCGACAAGTAGTAAAGAAGAAATTATTGATTACGACTGGAGCAAACAGTACGGTGATCAACAGTCTAAGGGTATACTGTAAAATCCATTTTCACTTTACTGTGAACATATGTGTAACAATACATCTATTCATGTTTTTCCTTATGATCATCACATTGTTCTTTCTTAAAATGTATTGTTTCCTGTATGTATACATATTTCGTCTCGTTTCTGTTATATCTAAGCGAAAATAAATTAACTATAATCATTAGGGGTTGCTTATGGACTGATGTTATACGTATATTCTTATTGTATGATTTAAGTGACCATACAATTCGTATATTTATATTCCTTCCATTATAAGCTATTATCTGACGTGATAGTTACTGTTATAATTTACTATTCTCAAGTTATTCTCAAAATATTGGTCACAGTTTATCGTAAACACAGCCACTTTTTGCTTGATTTTGCCTATATGTTTTCTTTTTCATGGTGTGGTGTGGTTTGATTTTACTTATATGTAAATGAAGTGTCTAAAATATGTAATTCGTATCGCGAAGGCTGAGATCGGCATTCTGAACTTAACTGGCAGGGCTGGTCGTACTGGTGTATACGTCGTTAGCTTGGTTGCATATATAACTTAATTGACAATCGTATTTAGCGCTAATCGCATAAGTAAAAGGATATAACAGCTTCACATCTGTTCCACAAAGAATTCTGAATTATGGACGTTGCCAAACGAATTTTTTTAACTGATTTTGTTCGATTTATTCATGATGTGATTCAATGACAAGAAGGAATAATGTTCCGAATAGTAACGATTGAACTGGGAGCTATTTACTTGGTGATATTTCAGCGATTTTTGGGTGAATAAACTGGCAATGTGATGTAATTAGCTTAATCTTATCACTTGTCAAGTTCTTATTGTGTTCCTAATGTTTAGTCTCTAGTTTATGCCTCAATGTTTGTTGGTTTAAACGTGGTAGCGCCTGCTGGAGAAAAAAGTTTTCAAATGTATTCTGTCTCGTTTGAAATTATACTCATCCACCCATAACCACTAGTTCATACTCCTTTGTGTAGGTTTGGATTTTAATTGTTACTTTTCACCACGCTCATCTAAGACGCATTTTAGACAATTCTCTGGTCCAGATCCGGCTGCGTTACCACTATTTAGGACTTTACGGTTGCCGATTCTGCGACAATATAAGATGATAAACAGAGTATACTCCTATTAAACGTGACTCACGAACAATCTATTCTATATCTTCTCATTCTGCTGAAGTAAGTGTATCAACTGTAGACAAACAGACATTAAACATTATCAATAAGCAATCAATGATGATAAAATCGTGAATTCATTGACAAGCTCTGAAAGCACCCTTATTTCTGATGTGCCTTTCAAGATCATGGTTCATATGACTATAGAATTTTCATACTGTTATGTACGGCAGAATATCTTTCGTAGAGACATTTTCAAAGTGTTTATTGAATGAGTCAGCTGAATTCGACATACTTTACTAAGGCATGGCCTAAATAGATCTCATAAGCTTCAAAGAGAGTTTTTACGATAACTGACTATCAAGAGCATAAAAATCTACCGCAATGGCGTAGGTTAGAGGAAAATGAAACATAATGTAGCGGTAAATAAATCCCCAAAATAAATAGCCCTGTGAGTTTTCGACATTGGATGCTGACCATATGTTTTAGTGGACTCATCTAGCTGAAGGCGCTCGGTCAGGCAGCCGCACCAGATCACGTGTGGTAACGCCGTGCTCAACTGCTACTGCAATCGCTATCCAGATTAGATCAGAGAATTCCGATATATTGGTTATCGCCAAATATACTCTTCCGATCTCCTCGACTCTTTCTTTTGATTTCTCTCGGTGGGTACAAACTATATTGGAAGGTGTTGCTGGTAAAAGCGTTGTCAAACACTGAATACCTGTGTCATCTTCATTGGTGAGACCAACGTGATCTGGTACACCTAATTGCAACTGCGAGTCTGTTCCATTTTGGGATTTTTATATATAATTGACTTATTTTTTATTTTTTAAACGTTGTGATTTTTTTTCGTGTTTTTTCTTGGATATATATATATTTTTTTCTCCTCGTTCATTATCGTACTTCATATTTCATCATGACTGAACAAACACCCAAAGTACTCAAGCTTAAGACTTTGTCCCCGCCTTCGTTTCAACTCATGCCATTCTGGCCCGACAACATCGAAGCCTGGTTTTGCTACACAGAAGCCGACTTCTCCGAGCACGGCGTGAACGACACACGTGCACAATTCCTCGCAGTAGTCAAGGCGCTACCGCGGGAATTCAACAGGTACGTAACACCTAGTATGTCCACTAGTGATGTTTCTGAACCTTGTTAAACCTTAAAACGTTCGATTCTTAAACGAGGAGACCTAACCGATCGACAAACGTTAGATCAACTCTTTAATAACATAGACCTGCAGCACGGTTCTGCGACGGACATGTTGCAAAAATGAGAGAGGTTGTATCCCCAAGAACTTCCGACGAAGGTCTATTCAAAGAACTCTTCTTGTCAAGACTTCCACAACAGGTGCAAGCAGTTCTGGTCTCGTTCCAGAACAACGCCTTAGACGAGCTAGCTGCATCTGCCGACCGCATTTTAGAAATTACGAAACCTTCTA